TCCCATGCCTGTTATTGAGCTCACCATTAAATGTATTTATGGCTTAAAACACAGAACATCAACTAATGAGTACGTTTACTTAAGACCACACCAGAAATACGCTACGGAATGAGTTCTTATCTGGGAATCTGTTCTCCTGCTGTGTTCCTCAGCTGAAAAACAAAAATCTCTTCAAGGTTGTAACTTCCCTAGAAAAGAAGGTTCAAGGAGACAGGAGGAAAGAAAGGAAAGACAAGCCAGGAAAACTTTCTAGCCACACTTTATCACAGACAAAATCTTTCAGCTACTCAAGAGGCCTCCCAAGCAATATTCCCACAGGCCCTCACGCATACTGCAGACCCCTCACAATTGCCACAGATTTGCTTTTGGTCAGGTTCTCCTTTCCTGTCCCTCAACTTTTCAAAGACACTTCAAAAGAGATCAAAAGGCTTGGAAGAGGTAGAGTTGTTTAGTCTGTAGAAGAGAGATGGGAGACGGGGTCTCATTCTTCAAACACAAATGAAGTTGGTATGAGAACAGGACTAAACTGTTCACCAGGTCTACTGCAGACAGGAAAAAACAAGGAAGATTTAAGTTGGACATTTGGAAAGCTTTCAAGCAAGAGTAAAGGACTGAACAGATTGCCTACGGAGGTTGTGGAACATCTATCACCGGAAGGCTTTAAAAACAGGTTAGGCTAATGTACCAGAAGCAATTTAGGTAGAACAGATGAGAACAAGCTTGAGATCTTTTGCTCCCCTTCTGTTAAAGTCTTTTCTTTACACCCAGCATTAAGAAAATAAATATATTTTCCTCTTTTATATCCCTGTGTTTTAACTTTTCAAAATCAGCAGCAAATCTGCCTTTGTAATTATTTTTCCACATATTCAAGTGTGATAACTTGGAAGAACAAAACACAAAGATTTGCTAACTGTGAAAAGCAGGAAAAATAAACCACCTGGGAAATAAAACATCAATATATCCATTTTACACTCCTTCTGAAGAAACTGACGTATAAATCAATTTGTTATTTACTTGGTTGGTTTTGCAATCTGGAGAGATCATAGGAACTTCAGGGAGAAGTTGCGCAGTCCTTGCACCAAGCATCTTCTCCAGACCTGAGTCTGATGGAGAAATTGGCCTGGACCATCGACAGCCCACCAGCCCATTGTGGGGCACACCAGGAGAGCAACGTATCTTTGCCATCTGATGACTGACCCGGCTGAAAATAGACTAAATAGACTTATTTGAAAGATAATCCACACCAAAAAGTCCTTTTCTTAAGTTCCTCTTAATCTCTATCTTGATTGACGTCTTTATTATACAACATAATTTTTAACCCAAAGAAAGAGAAACAGGTTGTAAAGTTCATGGTAGAGCTGTAGCAACTTTATCCATAGCAGTGTAGTACAGGTAGAGGAATGCTAACTCACTCTTGGTTTGGATAAGACAACTATTTTTCATAGATTGCACTGGCTAGTAAGGAAACAGAAGACAGAGAGAAGATACACAAGCAAGAACTGAGGACAATCTAGGCCACCAGTTATCATTTGTATCACAGAGCAGACCCCAGTTAGGCAGTTTTAGTGCCTTTATTTTCTTCTGGAATTTCACCTGGATTTTCTTCAAATGGGCACATCTCAAAGAGCAGGGTGCAAGTAAGATGACAGCAATATTGTGACATCTTTCTCGCCACCTCTTTTAAGCATCACCACAATTCTCTTGCCAGCTTCTAGACCAGCAGAAGACAGACTTACAAGACTAACGTAGTCACTCTACACTGTAGCTACTACGCAGCAGAGAAACATATGATGATGGATGACACATCAAATTCCTAATTTATTTTCTATTAAGTTACAAATTAGGAATATATTCTTACAGTCTGAATAACTAAAATATGGGAGCAGACTGAGATCCCATAGCCTCCACAGACCATAATCAAAACTGCAAAGAACTATTAAAATAAGAATCTGCCAGGAAGAGCAGAAGGAAATTTTGGGACACGTGAAAAGAACTAATAACATCAAGGTCCTCTTAAGCCATGTTTTATAAGTCTAAGGCAGCAGCAGGTAGGTTATGGTACTCGCACTAATTCTAACCAGATGAATCATTGGCAATGTACCTCGAAATTCCTAACGCAGTGGTAGTCTGTTTTCTTACTCTCCAGGAAAAAAGAATTTGGGAAAACTCACTGATGACTTACTGATCTGTGGTCACTAAGCCTGGTCAGTAAATCAATTTTCAGTTTTTGCTCAAGAAATTTATTTATTTATTTGAAGAAAAGCATTTTTCCCAAGCATTAAAAAAAAAAAAGAAAAAAAGAAACAGTTACTGTTCATCAGGCTGCTTTGAGACTTGAGACTGTATTCAATAATACGTAAAGATGGCTTTGGCTACACTGGAGAGAAAAAACAGCTATCAGAGGAACATTCTTGCTGCTATTTCATACTGAAGTAACCATGGAAATGAAAACTAAACTTTGATATCCCCCCCCCCCAGCTCCCACGGGCAAGTACAATAGAAAATCTAACAAGGGAAATGTATGTTGGTGGAGTTAACAAGAACCATACAGGTAACTGTTTAGAAGGAAAACTAAATGGGTTACCAAGTTTCTCTGCTGGACTCCAGTCACAGAGCTCGTATCAGCGAAAGAAACAGGAGAAGCTGTTTGCTTGGCTCACATCTGATGTTCCTAGCAGCTGCCTTCTACACTGGCCACTCCTTTTATCTGTGTTGCCTAGCATTTGAAATTCTTTACGTTTTAGAAAACACTTCCATAGAAGAGACAAATGTCAATGAAATCTCTACATGGCGGCTGTGACATGCAGCCACGAGAAAGCTCAAAAACATTGATAGAAGTCAGATTCCTCTTCCTGCACACTCAATCATTTCCCCTTATGACAACTGCTTTACACTCACTCTTATTATACAGACATTTCTCATCCTGGTTTTAGACATTTATTGTGCTCTTTCCATCTTCCGAATTCAGTCATGTTCTCCAATTGATCTAGAATTTACTCATTTATCTTCTACTCATGCCACTGAGTACCCACCCCTCCAAAATTCAGGATTTCTACAGTGTACTTGAGAAGAAAACCTAATACATCTTCCAACTAGCTAATCCAACTGCAGCACTCAACCCGAAAAAAGCTAGCAGAGTGTTGGCTAATTATTCACACCAGATCCCTATTTTCCAAACAAATGGGATGAAATGGAGGCCAGAACAGAAGTGGGACGTTTTTTCCTTGCATGAAGCCATGAATTCATGTCACAGTCAGATTATTCATTGCTAAGATGTATTTATAGTTCAAAGGAATTCAAAGCAAATCCACACGAAGCCCCATACTCAAGCCCAGTACCCTGAAGAAGACTACTTATTAAGTAGGAGGGATTTAGGCTAGACAGCTCTTGATAAAACTTCTGTTTTGCATCCGAATGCGTTCTTGTTCTTGCCAAGTTCAGATCCACTCTTCACCCTGGTACCATTGCTTTTGAGTTCTTGTCCTCCAGAACATGGGAGCTACCTCTGCTGCTTTCTTAGGCCTTTTTCAGATAGAAACAGAGTAAGGTAATCTGAAAGTTTTCTATTCCACTGAACTGGGGGTCAGAGCTGAGAAAGCAAAGCTTGTCCCATTTGGTTCTCCTGCTAATCAGCAAAATTACAAAGAGCAGTGACTTTAGAAGTGGGCTGTTGCTTCAGAAAGAATACACAAATCACTTCAGCCTATTATTTCCTCTATTTTTTATATTATTACCTTACAATATGAACTAGCACAGTGCTATAGGATAAACCGTGCTGTATCATGAACGTATACGCATTTTAAAGTATTTTTATAATGTTTCTATAAACTGTTTTAAAAACTACAGTACAATTGTTTCAGTTGTCCGGAATCTCAATATACTGCAGAATAATGAAAATAATTATTATTATTTACTTTCTACTTCAGTCCTAACTTTAAAAAAAAGAATCAAGCATTTCTACTTTTTAGGACTTGGGTGCTGTTTTTACAAATTTGTGGTTTCCTTTTCAATAGGTCTTCAAATAAGGTATAATTTTTAAACATAACTGGGGAATAACATAGTAAGCGGATGAAAAGGGCCTGCAGAGGCGGGATGCTGTATTTGATCGCTACTGCTTTGAGTTAACACGGAATTCATGTCAAGCGTACCCTGAAACGCAAATACCTGTGAGAGGAAAGGAGGATATTGAAAAAAAATATATATAAATAAGTCAGAGTTTGAGGAGCAGAAAGAGCAGGAAACACTAGGATAACTTTGCACTTATTCTGCAGCCAGTTTTTCCTCATTTTGCAGTGTTCAACTCAGCGCAATGACGCGATGATGGGCTGGGGGCTGCTAACGTAACCTGAGGAGAAAAAAGCCACCAGCCCATCCCTCTCACCCCATTTATGCCTCCCCACAGAGCTACGAGCCTGTGGAGAGACCAAAGGCAAGGCGATGCCAGCTCTCACCCACTGAAGCCTACACACCACCACACGACCATATATTCATAGTGTATCACTACAAACACCACAACTCCCCTCCAAACCCCAACCCCTCGCTCAAACGAAGCCTACCACCACTTCCACACCCCCCTGCCCCAGCAGGGCGACCTCCCCCTTCCCCAAAACCCCAAAAATCCCGACCCCGCAGCCCCCCGGCGGCCCCACACCGCCACCCCCGCGCCCGGCGCCATGACGCGGCCCCAGGGCGGCGGCGAGGGGCGGCCCCGGGGCCAGGCTGGGACCGCTCTGGGGACACGAAACCACCTTTTAGCAGGGAAACTCGGGCCGTGGCGAGCCGGGCGGGCTCGGCAGCACTCACATGAACCGAGCCGAGCCGAGCCGTGCCCCCTCCGCCGCCGCCGCCGCGCACCTCAGGGCGCTGAGGGAAGGAGGCCCCCGCCGCCGGGCTGCGCGGGCTGGCGCCTGAAGCCTCCCCTCACCCCCCCCCCCCCCCCCACCTCACAACCCAGCGCCGTGACGTTCTTAGCGCAAAATTGACGAACCTGGGGAAAAAATTAAAAGAAGAAAGATCGCTTTGCTTATTTTTTAACGTTGGGAGGAGAGGAAAAGTCAGGCAGCGTGAAACCAGCCTCGGTCCTTCCCCGCTGGCGGGGCGGGGTGTCGCAGGCAGCTGCTGAGGTGCCGGCACCTGCCCCCGGCTGGGGCTGAGGGGGGGGGACCCGTCCTGAGGGGTAGGGGGCAGACTTAGGGGATTTTCACCTGGGTTGAGGGGGTCCCCGCTCGTAACCGGGGGGCTAAGGGGCTGCTCATAGTCCTGGGGTTCGTTTTAGGGCGCCGTGGGGGTCTTGCTGCTCGTCAGTGGGGCGGGGTGGTTGTAGGGTTGTTTTGGGGTCATTTGTAGGCTTTTGGGGTCGCTGGGAGCCGGTTCCAATTAATTTCTCTTCTCGCCAGAGGTCATTCCCCTGCTTTCGTGTGTAAGTGACACGGCGACACGGCCGGCTTTATGTGCACAGTGGCAGGGACCCAAATTGCACGGGTAAGCGAGTAAACATAACGGAATTAAAAGAAACAGCGGGTTTACGCCTGCTAAAACCCCTCCTGGGCTGCCAGAATTAGGCTGTGTGCCTCCTTGAGGTGCTCCAGGTGTTGGCTTTAGGGGGCTTGTGGGTTTGTTTTCCTGTTTTATTAAATGTTCTACCTGCAGATATGAAATTCGGGATGCCGCTGAGCCTCGCTGTTACACCTGCCCTTCACAGCAGCAACGGCCTAACCTCCCTGTGCTGTGTAGGTGCACCATAAATGCCTTGAGTAATGGTATTAACCCTTATTTCACAACTCCCACACACAAGGCAGAGGCTATGACAGAGTTTTTCAACCATTTCTGAGAAAGAACGCTTTTTCATGTTTGTTCGTGGCTGTATTCCACTTGCCTGAAGTGACGCTTGAATATCCCTGGTAGGGCAGGGAAAGGAGTTGCTATTTCACATCTTCAGGAAACAATTCTTCAAATATCCATCAATCACTTGTGCCAAAGTCAGTGTGACATTTTGCTTTCTTTTCCCCAAAAAGTTGTGTAGTCGTAGGAGACCAAATAACAACATTGGAGCCTTGACAAAACGCATTTTGTATTTTCTGTTAATCTCAAATTGGGTAACAGTTAAAATGAAAATTTTTGACACATTTATTATATGAATAAATGTGCTGTTTGCTGTATCTGGAATCTGAATCAAAGCGTTTAGGCAAAGTGTGCCTATGCTTGTGATTTTGATACAGGAAATAATGCTGCTTGCTGTGTTGTTTTATTTTCTTTAGTCTAGACAATAATTTTAGGGGAAAAAAGATTTAAATATGCTAAACATTCTGTCACTATTTCCTTTCGATTCTATTGTTACTCTTTATTTGTAGATGGAATACTTCTAACTTCTGACGTTCATTTAAGAGTTGGGGCATTTTATAAAAAGAGACATACTGGTGTTATTCCCAAGGGGAAGATGGTTAATAAAAAACAATGCTGTTTACATTGAGAATCTTAGGCAAAAACGTAGCAAAATAGTGCTAATCTGCACGTGAAATAGGTACTTGTAGACATCTGTTGGTGGTGGGAACGTTGGTTTGTGTTTCTGTGTACTGTAAAGGTTTCTAAGGGAGATTTGGATGGGGGTAGTGAGGCAGGGGAGGTCATTCAGAGGTGGGATGCAAACCAGGCCGCTTCTGGACTTCTAATCTCTATGCCAGACATCTTTTGCAGATGTGGTAGGCTGTCTCTCATATACTCAATAAGCAGAGCTTTGGAGAGGACTCAGTAATTTTAGATGACACTAATAAGACAAGTCATCGCTTCTTCCTCCATCCTCACTGTTTTGGATTATCCGAATTGAATTTCCAGAATTCGGTCCTGGAATTAAATTTGCCTTAGCTGTTCCTGGTGTCAATTTAAAATAACAAACTCTTCTTTTTCTTCTTCTCTTTTTCTTTCACAGTAATTAGGAAGCTCTGCAGAATATAATTCATTCCTCCAAATTATAAAATTAACGCAATACGTGCCTTTTCTATGTAGAAGAGATGAATTTCAGGTGTTGAAATTAACATGAGGAGAATGCCCTAAACGTGAGGAGAATGTCGTACTCTGTATTTTTATAGTTGTACCTGACTTTGTTGTGGATTTGGAAAAAGTTTAAAATACAGTTACATGAGATCTTTTTTTCAGGTGAATCTTTGAAATGTACATAGCACTTATGTTTGAATTTAGAAATGTCTGTTACTGGAGAAATAATTAGACTGCAACAAAAGTCAGTTTAAAAGAACCCTTCACATAGGCTGTAACTTGTGGCCCTTTTTAAAGGTGGAAGAAGGATTAAGCTTTTAGTTTCAGGGTTACTTGGTTTATTTTTCTGTTCAGACCCTGGGATTTACGGAAGTTGAGAGTTAAGGATGGAGATCAGAACTTAATTGTAAAATTACCTATTGACAGAACTAGCTCTTTTCCAGTATAACTTTTAATAACTTTTTAATGTTTGTTTTTGTGGATTCAACGGAATTAACTTTGTAATTAGAACTCTTTTAATGCATACCTTCTAAAATTCTTGCTTGTTTCCTTTTAGTGGCTGGCAGGAAAGGCTGTTTGCTTTTCTTGTTTCTTCTGTTTTGTCTGTGTGCTTCCCAACCAGATGGTACGTCTGCAGTTGTTTCATTGAAAACATTCCAAGTGGTCTAACTCATCCTTGTAGGCAAAGTGCATCTAGAATGGAAAAAAATATTAATCTCTTTAAATGGGTATTAAACTTTCAATATTTAACATTTTTTTTTAATTAAAATTTCCTTCTAAGTGTCAGCTGAAAGCAGATATGGTATATTAAGGACTGTCTAGCTGATTATTTTTTCCACGTTAAAGAAGATTTTTCTTACCTGAGTAAATATGTTTTACACAACATATTGAAGTATTTATATACATATATTAAAAACAAAATACATCACACTGGTATAAATTTACTCCTTCCGCACACCTCTGCCCCCAGACTCTGGTTATATTAACTTTTCTTTACTCTAAAGTAGTTATTGGAGGACCGATGTGCCAAATAAGGTTGTAACTCACTTTCTAAATCAGAATTCTTTCTTCATGGTCAATAAATATTTTCTTTCTGAAGCCAGGTAGTTCCCTTTGGCACAATGTTTTTACAGGAATCTGGATCTTAACTTGTGGTAAATACACAGTTAAAGCTTTGTTATTGGAACTTGCTGTCTGACAATAAATCTTTTTGCTTCCACTCAGTCCCATTTATGCTTTTCAGTGGTACGTTCTTACTGTTAGTTGCATTGTTGGCATCCTAAAAAATAACTTTCTCAAAATACTAAATATCCATGAATATGGAAACATTGTATCTTTACAAAGAAGACTTCTGATACAAAAACACAAACATAAAAACAACAGTGCCCTTTTGTATTTTTCTTCTGTATTTAATACAATGATCTGTGCTAGAAATTAAAGGACTGTATCTCATATTTTTGTTTCTTTGGGCAAAATCCCACATGCACACAAATATAACAGCAGTCTTACATTTACTTTGTATCTGAACTCAGACTGTACTAGTGAAAACAGAAGGTATGCTCTGTAATATCCATTTGTATAGACTCAGTAAATGTGTCTGGTGTAGGAGGATCTCTGTGCAGCCTGTTAAGGAGAATGCTATCTCAGTTAAGATTCACAAAAACTATTTTTAATGGGATTTTTGTGCAGGTTACAAGGTTGTGATGTTGGCCAAGAGGCCAATAAAATAGTAGTGTTTAGCTTCATTAGTGCTCTGCGTATTTTTTGTATCAGTTTTTTATTTCTTGAAGCCCCTAAGATGATAAAGAATTATCACATCTGGTTTGAAAGAATTATGCTGGTTTTATACTTTAAGCTTTTCCGGTTATTTCTCTTCTGGGCTTCAAATCCTGTGGGTTCCTCTGCCTCTCCAATTATCCTGGTGCAGCTACATACCTGTTTCTACTCTTTAGAGCTTAGAATTACTGTTCTTTATCTGATGAGAGAGTTGGATGTGCTTTCCACATCAGATGGTGGACTGTTTCTGTTGATTACATACACAGGGGCTCTGGACTCTGGAGTTGAAGTTAGCTGGATGGTACTCTTCTGTGTAGGCTTGTTGATGAAGCTTTTTTTGTTCTGAGGCCTCTTGTCCACTGTTACATGGAAAAGCACTTCACTGTCACAGCTTGTAGGCTAGAGCTCACTAAAGAGCACTTAAGCTTGGCCTTTTTCTCTCTCTTTATGTGCCCTTATACACAAATTTGTGTGTGTTATGGAAGCTGACATATAGAGGAGCCATACTACCTCATGACAGCTTGCAGTGTCTTGATTCATGATCTGGGCAATCCAGAAATGGGTTGAGCAGAGGCTTGATTCCGTTTTCGGATTTTGGTACCTGGTATATCAAATCTTAGCCCGCTGGTAAAAAGAGGCCAGGAGGTTTTGTCTGAGGCCTAGCTGATTGTGGAGGTGTCTGTCACTTGTGCATGTTCTAGGTTTATACTCTTGAACTGCATAATAGTTGGTTATGGAAAACTGCAGAGAAAAGATTTAGCTCACACTAAATGGAAATGCGTGGTTCAGAGTAGCGAAGGTTCAACAAGGTTGTTCCTGCTGGGGAGAAAAGTGGTCATGAAACTAAATGCTCCTGAAACTGAACTAAAAGCTAGCTGCTTTCTCTTGTCTGTCCCACAGAAATATTTAACATAGATCACTTCCCTGATTTGTTACTGAGTCAGTGTGGGAGCTAATGATTTACCTATTGGTATGGAAGGAAATATTGGCTGCACAGATGACTTGTTACTTTCTAGCTTTAATTACCTGGATTATTTTGGATTACCTGGTGTAAAGATGCTGGATTATTACTAAAGCTGTGCTGATCTAGACCTGTGGCCTGCTGGTACAAGGTGGTATTTTAGAAGAGCGTTTTTCTCTTTAGAGCCTTCACTGGTTTTTGAATAGTAACCTGCTGTATTGCAGTAGTCATCTGAAGATTGCCTGTGTTAAAGCATTTGTCTGTTCCTAAAAAGAGTTTTACCTCTGTGTTTAAAACCAACACTGTATTTTCATCTTTAAATGTGGTGTTTATGATGCACCTGCACTGTATTAATAATATTATTGTGTTCATTATTCAAAAGTGCCTCCCCAATGGAGAAAAGAAGTCTTAATTTCATTATTAAATAACTCATAAGCCAAGTCAGAAGAATTTGTATCTTTTGTGTATAATTTTTTAATCTGTGATTTCTTTCTAAGGAACAGAAGTCACTTGGAAGGGCGTAAGGTCGTGTGAAAGAGATGTTTCCTTTAAAAGATACGGAGATGGGTGCCTCCACCTTCTTTGCCTCAGCTCTGCCTCATGATGTTTGTGGAAGCAATGGCCTTCCTCTGACTCCCAACTCCATCAAAATTTTGGGGAGATTTCAAATCCTTAAAACAATGACCCATCCCAGGCTTTGCCAGTATGTCGATATTACCAGGGGTAAGCATGGTGAGTATCTGTTTAATGAGGATATTTCATGTTTGGTTACGGTTATATTTTTGTGAAAAAAAATATCTGAAGGTGCCCGAGCAGAATATTGCCATTATGGCACCAGTTAAAGAAGGTGTCTAGGTTCTAGGCCCAAAATGACTGCATGCCTTTGCTGTGACAGACAGCATTAGTGCTTTTATTTCTTTCCTGCAGAGGTTATTGTCTGCGTTCTCTTTTGTTACACATTACGCTAACTGAAAAACGCTAAAAACTTCCATTTTTTTTTTATTCTTTACTGTAAAATTCTGGTACTTGATTTCTGCACCATGTCTGTGTGGGACACTGAAATGGATGCGTTTGTGATGCTGAGCCCCTACACTGTGTTTTTGTTATCAATTTCAATGTGATGCTCAGGTCTCTTGTACTTCATTTGCAGCTGTTCTTGGTGTCTCAGTTACCCTCTATCTTGGCTGCAAGCTTCTCATATTTTTATTTTTTCTCAATTCTGGCTGCTTAAGATCTTTCCCACTAACAATTACTTTATTTTAGTACAGAGGGTTTTATAATAACTGTTTTCACATGTATTGTTAGCTCAAATACTGCTTCAGTTGTTTTTTATGCTCCAGATGATCTCACTCTGTTGCTAGCTCAGCAGGAGTACAGCACTTAATTTCCACAAAAAGTCTGCAACACCTGCGACAGAATGTATGTGGTTATCAGCTTTAACTGTTAAACCAATGATGTTCCAATATAAAAGTGCATTCTATGTATCTGAGTAGTTACACTGTCTCATAAAGTAGAGCAGGTAATATATTTTATATATGTATAAACAGGGGACTGTTAGGTTAGAGGTTGGACTCGATGATCTTGAGGTCTCTTCCAACCTAGAAATTCTGTGATTCTGTGTGATTCCCCTCTAATTCAGGGTGATAGGATGTTTCAGATTGGTAGAAAGTTGTGATATCACCAACTGAAAATGTTCTGAAGTATTCCAGGGTAGGGGAAGGTTCTTTTTATGTTTTCTTTTGCTCTCAAACTTGTAAATTTTCAGTTTTCTGCAGCCAGGAGATCTAGAAATATTATTTGTTTTCATCTTAGGTTGGCTAGTACGCCTTGAAACAGAAAATGGGGTTTTCTAATAATACTGTTTGAGGTGAGAGGTTAAGAAAAATTAGCTATCGTAATAAATATAAGAGGTGGTTAAATAGGCAAGCTTGGCCTTTTTGACAGTAAAGAGTCCACGATGTGAAGGTTTCAGTGCATATAAATACGAAGGAGAAAACATCTTAAGATCATTAAAGTAGCTTGCAGAATAGCAAATGAAATGTCTAACTTGAAGTCAGAAGGCTGTCCATTTATAGTGGCTAGAATGCCACTTAATCATTTTCAAATAATACGTTTTTTTCTTACTAACACACTGATAACATCGATGGGAAAGTTTATCATTCTGATACTGGCAGAATTCATCACTTGTCAGTCCGGACGTAGTGATTTAATGTTTTCATGCAAATGTCAGTTTCTCTCCTCATGAAGAAATACAATAGCAGTCTGGGAAAACGATGCAAAAAAATGACATGTATGCATTTCCCACAGAAGACCCTCAGAAGACTAGTGTATAAATAATAGAAAAACATTCAAATGGAAGTCTTTTTTCTTTGTGAAATTAATTTATTTGTAAACCTTGGATAGCATTATAGAAGCTGATCCCAGAATTGTTTATTCCAAATGAAGTGTAAGTGGTCCTTTGATTTCAGGAAGGAGAAGGAAAGAGTTAAGTAAGCATTCCAGCTTTAATGTGTTACTATCTGTGTGCCTTACAGTGTTTTCCATCTTTGTTATTTTAACAGTCTTGTAAGAATATTTTGGAATACCTTAGTTTGATTTGGTTTTGAACCTGAACATTCAGTACTTGCTGTTCTGTGAGTATCAGAAGTAGCAAAGCCGCCTCATTCAGTAGTTCTCTGTCTCCCCTGCACAGTCTTGCACTATCACCGTCCCTTTATAGTTGCCATCTTCAGTGCAACAATCGTTTTGTTGCTCCCTCTGTATTCAGAGCCATACCTAGAACATGTGGGACCCATATAAATCCTTAGCTATTTTGGGGCAAAAAGTACTGCAGCTAGTAATGTGCTAGCTGGTCAATCAGGACTGAAACTCCTTTGCTCGCTCAGAATCCTTTTCCTCAAGGTTGATGTTGCTTTGATTCTCTCGCTCTCAACTCAACCACAGATTTTTGTAAATTTGTGAATACTTGCCTTCTTTGAAGCCTCTATTCTTGAGTCAAATTTGACTGTCATCAGCTGAGGGGCTCAGAATTTAGTAGGTTACTGGATGGATGGAATAGCAGTACTTTTGCTTAAGGAAACAAAAACAAGAAAGATCTGGTCCAGTCATGTAATCTACTCTATTTCATGAATGAAAATGATCGTGATATATACAAGTTGTACATAATTACTTATATACAGTTTCCCATACAACATATGTCAATATACTTTAACATCTGCCAAATAGGTACTGAGAAGTCTGAATTCCCATTGTCTCACTTGCATTCTAATCCTCATATCCTTATTTTTTCAATTAGAGAGGCTGGTTGTGGCTGCTGAACACTGTGAAAGGAGTCTGGAAGATTTGCTACGAGAAAGAAAACCAGTCAGGTAGGGTGTCAAGTTAACCTCAAATCCACTTGACAAAGTTTGACATATAATCTGTGGCTAATTCCTAGCCTCTTTTTTTTTTCTTTAAACTTTTATTGCTTTATATAAATTTTACTCTGTTAAAGCTGAACATGAAAACATTGTTTATCAGACAAACATATGCCTGGAGTACTCACTTCTGTACGATTTGAGAAGCTGGAAGATATATGGGGAGCTTACAATTGAAATACTTTGTAGCTCATCAAATCCTGTCTTGAAATAGCAGTTTTGGGGTTTCTTTTTTTAAAAAAATACTGTCAAACCTGTTACAGAATCATTATCTTCCTTAGAATTAATTTGAAAATTTTATGTTTACCACATGATGAAATGCAGCTTTCATTACAAGGGATAGGATTTGGTGCGTGCTTTTCATATGCAGAATATATGAACTTCTTACCTAGAAAAGTGGACAGGATGTCAGATACATATGCCAGGCTGGTAATAAGCGGTTTGAATTTGGTTTAATACAGTCATTTGACCAAACCAAGTCCAAAGGCTAGATGCTAAGAATACTGGCTTTCATGCTAAGATGTATAGAATAGTTGAGCTATATCTTTAAAGAAGCTAACAAACACACACCCCATTAGACTTGTTGATGTTAACTGTAATTTTAAATGAAAAGCAACTATCACTATTGGCTTTGGGGAAAAGTCCCTTCCCCTGGAGAATATAGAACACAGGAAGCATAAAGAGTTGAGAAAGAGAAAAAATATTTGTATTTGGGATAGCGGGGCATTATAGATTAGTTATTTCTAGAACACAAAAATATACAAATTTGCAGCATGCTCAGAGAAATCCAGTCTCTTCATTCTAATTTCTGGCATTATATTATCTGAATTTATAACAAGCATTAGATCTCATACTGTTTTGACATTCATGGAAGTGTAGAAAATAAGCTTACTCAGATAAATGTTTGGCACGTTTTTGTGTCTTCCCAGTTAACTGTGATTAATGTTAGGCATCTCGGGTGGGCTATGTTTGATAAAGTACTATCCAGGTAGAATTCCTGTTGCTTATCCCAAAATTGGCTTGTGTAGAGAAGCAATACTAGAACTGAAGCTTTTTGAGCCTTGCAGCCCTTTAATAAAACACTAACAGTTTTGTCAGGCAGAGATAAACCTAAATGCAGAATGCCCTGTGCCTGTACATTAGGTTTTTGTGGGTGCCAGCTTATATGACGTCATATGTGTTGCAGAGGACAATGTCTTGAGGAATGTAAGGCAAATATGGCTTGCATTTTCTCTTCAGATAGAGAGGTACTTAGAGGTGAAGTGTAAAGGGCTTTTCATGTGTGATATAAATTACAGCCCTTCACACAGTTTTGCATCAGGTTCCTATTGTGCCAAGTTCCAGAAATAGTGAAAGCATCAGAAGCTCTTTTCTTCCCTTTTTCACTCAGTTCTCACACTGCTTTTGGAACATGTGTGTCTTGGTGTCAGATGAGAAGCAGCCCAGATTGTCTACTGCCTCTTGACTGTTTTTGCAAAAGCATGCATGTAGCTATTTTAATTTGCTTTGAATTGCTTGATACGTTTCTTATGTGTATTCTGTTGCTATGAGAAAGGAGAAAATTCTCAAAATTGTATAAATGGAACTTTTCTCAGGTAACAATTGTGGCCTGTATGCACATCCATTATGCCCCTCTACATCAGCATGGTTTTGTGGCATCAAGAAATATATATATTTTTATACATTTTTAGGTGGTTAAGAGAAGGTGCTTCACCAAGATAACTGTCACAAACTCTTTTGGCCATTGGTCTATTGAGAGTAGATGCGTAAAGCCTGGCTTTACTTTCTCCTCTTGGCTTGAGATAGTAGAATAACTTATTTCAGTAAAAACTGTCTGATCTTTGTTTTAACAAGCCAGTTGGGATTTTTTCACGAAGTTGTAACACCTGAGGCATAGGCTAAAATGTAGCCTGTCAGTATGTTCCTAGCTTCAAGAGATGTTAGTGTACACCTACTTACTGTAAATTACAGCTTTTGCAGTAGTGGCTAAGAGATGAATTATGTTCACTCCAAAGGAAGTGTCTTGCAAGACTGGCTTTTTCCCTCTACTTCTTTCTTTTTTTTGTTTTGTTTTAAAATTAAAACAGACATTTTAGTTTCTTTTGTGAGACCCATAAATTTCCAGAAATAACTTGGATGGACCAATTCCCAGTTATTGGTCATTTGATCTGTCTATATTAATTACCTTTGGAGGGAAGTATTTGGCTTTTTCCATATATTCTGATTGCATTTGTCAATGATAGTAAAACTGGTTACACATCCGGAGCTGATGTGTGTGCTATTGCAATTAATTTTATAAACTGTTTATGGAATGCAAAAAGCTGCTTTTCTGGTTTCTAGATTAATTCTCCTTATGCTTGCCAGTAACCTAAGTCCTTTGCACCTGTACCACAAACTGACGTAAAATCAGCAGGAAATCTTCTATTATGCTAGTGCTGAAATTCAAGACGTAACATTATGAACTGTCTATCTTTCCATACATACTGGAAAACAGGCCGTACAGCTGTCTGGTAGTTATTTGCAGTTAATCTTGTCTGAAGTCATGCGTCAAGAGTAGCATGCATTCCTTAATATATGAATTATTTAAAAAAAATGCAGCTGAGTGATTAACCTCAGACTTTCATCAGCTTTTATAATTCTAACGAATCACTTAGACATAGGGTCCAAACACTGGATAATAGTTCTAATCATTTACCTAACTTGCTCTGTCACAGCCCAGTAAGTCGTTTTAGGGAGCATATGACCAAACAATTTCTAGAACCTGGATCTGTGAATTCACCTGTTACTTACCAGCGCTGTGACAGAGCTCTCCAGGAATTGCAAAGATAGTTTGCCATTTTTCTCAAAATTAACATGCTCAACTTCACTTTCAATGCAAGTCAGTGTTCGGTAACTCGTGGCCAGATTATTTTCTGAGTGATGCATGTTTGGGATCCTAGAAGGAGCATGTGCCATGGTTGGAACTCTATCAGGTAACATTCAAGAACTCTCAAATGGATGAAATAGGTAGGCTTTTTGCAGTTCTTGTCATATGTAACCAGAAAAGGAATTTAATAACTCTTCATTGTCTTTCGTGTTTTATTTGGGTGGTAGCCATGTGGACATTGTAACTACAATTAATGCTTCTAAAAGAGACATTAATTCAGTTGTCTTTACTATACTTCCATGGAACATCATGGTAAAAGCAGGGGAGCTCTTTTGGAGTTGTGTGCCACAGGGAACTCAGGCTGTAACCATGGGTAAGAGTTTTAGGATAGAATATGGTAAGCTTTAGGTAGTCATGCCCCATTATTTTCCAGAGCAGTCTCCACTGTCTTCAGTTTGAGAGTTTGTATTTTGGGTCATTGCTTGGTTTTTGTTTATTCCTGATTTATTCTCCTGTTTGTTGTTATTCTGTGTCAGAGCAAGTATGCACTTAACTTTAGCCAATAAATTTTGCTGTTGCAAAATCAGTTCTCAGATATATGTTCAGGATTCAGTTATTTTCTTAAAGGGCTACGAATTTATGTGCACAGTGAAACACAATAGTAAATACCTGATTTAAGCACGTAATAGTTTAATGCCGTTTAGAGATTTGAAAATGTGGCTCAAAGTCTGGCTGACTTCCTCTGTGTCATCTTGTGCATGCAAGGATTTTGTGAATGAACAGAAAGTAAGTCACAAAAATTACGAAGGATAAAACTATTGTCCTTCAGAATTCTCACTAATGGTAGTTTTCATGTTTGTGGCAGTCACAATTTTACAAGACTTGCAAGGTTACTAGTTCTTTTAGCACTGTTGATATCACAGACCGGAAAGTAGGATGTGAACTTATTTTTAAGGTTCTCCATCTTTTAAACACATTTAGGGCCATTCCTTTGGGATACCTTTTCCAGACAGTGTTAAAGGAGTTATTTTCTCTGCTCCTGTGCTCTTATAAGAGGACTTGTGAGTTTTTCCTTTTCTGTCATGCTTGAAGTGTGTTCCTTCTTTCAAGAAGCAGGTCTGCACTTGTATTCATAATAATAAAAATGCCAGCAAATACTGACATTCAGCAGACTTTTGGCACCTACAGTAGAGTTTCTGGATTGGTCTTCAATTTGTGGCTTGGGCAGTCTAAGCCTATTCCTTTCTTCAATAAAATATAGTTGTCATATGTTTTGAAAGTTATGGTTTTGAAAAATTACTAGTGAACCATCAGAGATACAAGGTATGGTTTGTTATACATGGAACGTTTGATGGGAAGCAGGCTGTGTCTGCAGCTGTTTACTAGTTTGGAGAAAACATGATCTGACTGATTCGGTTGAGTACATTTTATTTGGCTGTATTAAACAGTTGTCTGCGCATTGATTAGATTAGATTTCTTTATGCCATCTTTGCTGTTAATGTACTTTTGGCAAACTTGAAGTAAAGCTACATAATAGAAGGTATTATTGGATGTTGCGGGGGAAAGCAATTTCTGGGTAGCCAGGGATTCTTCAGGAATATTGTAAGACAGGTGCAAGTCATCAAAAGGCTGAAGGTTTTACATGGTTTGACTTGAAGAGCTGCATGTGAGCAGAACTTCAAGGGCAGAGTGTACTCTGCTTTGAATCAAGTCTGTGTTGGAATTTCACATGAGAAATCCATATGTCATAACGAGGTTGCATTTAGCAAGGGTAAATGATGAAGTAGTAGAATGAAGTAGCGTTAATAAATAAACTTCTTAAAATTAGTTTTTTCCTAAGCATGTGTGAGAATCTGTACTTTGACCGTTTAGTGGCTGTAGAGTTTTCCTTTAGTTTCTTGCCAACGGTTTGTTTCTAAAGCTGTGATGAAAGTCCAGCTATTAGTCCTGACTTGCTTATGTGTTATCCAATGCTGCTTTTCTTAATATTAGGAGTATTTTGATTTCCGTAAGTTTTCGTCTCACTGCAAATCTTACTGTAGCATTCTTTTTAATACAGGGTATCTCCTGTAATTCACAAGGGAAA